TCCAAGTCAAGTGCTATTTTCTTTTCTCTGTAGGATAACTACAACAAAGTGCATTCAGAACAAAGACCAAGGTGCAATAAACATCTAGACCAGTAGGCCTACAACAAAATAGTGTAAATAAAGACCGTAACAGCCAGGCCTTCAACAACAACAAATGCACCTATAAGTGCATGCATACAAATGTGCAAACTGGATAAATCCACATGAATGTAACTATTTACAAATGAAATTACAATTGAATTTCAAGAATCTGTAAATAAGGCTGTCTGTCCTCATAAGCAAAGTAGTAAACATTGTATAAAGATACATAAAGTGAAAACTGGATACAAAATCCACAATCAATTACAAATTAAATTACAATTTCAAGAATCTGCAAATAAGGTGGTCTGTCCTCATGAGCAATGTAAACAACATTGTATCATTTAGATACCGAAAGTACAATATATTGAACACTGTGCTGCTGTCATTTCCCCCTAATGATAACATGAGATGGTGAATTATAACTCACAATGAAAATTGTTCAGGAAAGTGGGTATAGAGTAGACATGTAGAACTAGATAAGCTTATGATAAGCCAGCCTTGTCTACTTATTAAGGAAAAGTGGGAGGTTATTTTTAATGAACATTAGCTTCTCTGCTTTATCAGCCATAAGTCTGTTCCTCTTCTCATCAAGCACATGAGAGGCAGCGCTGAACAGTCTCTCGCTGTCAGTGCTTGTGATTTGATCTTACTCCGCATATTTGTCCGGGTGTTTTGATTTCAAGTGGTGGAGTAATCCCGAAGTGGTGAAAGTCTTTGCAGTTACACCCCCTCGAGAAATGTCAGCTGAACACGTTTTACAAATCGCAATCCGCGCCTCTTTCTCTGATATTTTTAAATATCTCCAAGCGGCAGACATGTTGGCTGTGAGCCAGCTGCGAGCATGGTCGCGCGCCGTGCTTGTCGCCGCGTTTTGATTACGTCATCACAACAACACGTTAGTTTACCAACGTAACCCTGTTCTCTGACATTCTGTGATATTTTTTCGGTGCTAGAAAAGAGGCCTTTTTAACCATTTTCGGCCGATAATTTTCGGCGGCCGAATATTCGGTGCATCCCTACAATTTAGTGCCACTTGTTTATTTGCTCAATAAAACCTTTGAATCCAAATTGACTCTAAATGAGTTGGCAGAAAATCTCCCAACAGCATGCCAATGAGCTATCCAGTCTTTTCAAATTGTACACCTCCAAAAAACAAAAGCATAACAAAGTCATTCACAAAGGCCTTTGTGATTTCTAAAGTGAACCTCTTCTTTCTTGTCTGTCTTTTTTGTCTCCTCATTCTTTCTCTTCTTCTCCATTCTTCAGTTTAATGTCAGGTCTGGCTGCTTTAGACGCCAAGTGCTCCAGCCGCCTGGGCATCATGACCATCTCCTACTACCTCTGGACCACCTTTGTTGCCGTGGTAGTGGGCATCCTCATGGTTTACATTATCCACCCGGGCGGAGCCGCTCAGAAGGAGGACTCTGATGGAAGCAAGAAGCCGATGACCAGCTCTGCTGACGCTCTGCTGGATCTCATCCGGTAAGAGGCTGGAGCTAACATGCTATCTCAGAGGAAACTGTCATTAAGAAAGTACTCATTTAAAGGTCTCTTATCATGCAAAATGTACTTTGTAATGTCCTTTGTGTCCCCGGTGTGTCAGGAAACTCACAAAGTGTCAGAAAACAAAACCCTTTCTCTTTTCCTCCGTACCCAAATCTCTAAAAACGGGGGTACAACGGAGCTGATCCAGATTTGCGTTCGAAATGACGTAATACTGAAAATGTGGACCCACGCCCGCTATCAGAAACAATGCACGACGTGTTTTGGACGTAATATGGTCTTTGTTTACATTAGCAAGCGTCGCTAACACTCAGAGCTAACCTTTACTGGAGAGATTATGTGTAAAAAAGCAGGAAATTAAAAAAGGAACTCACCTTGTGGTAAACCAGCGAGAGAAAAAGCATTTGAACTCCATACTGTTTCAGAAATAATCCTTGATGTGGTTTGGAACATGATATGGCGTTTAATCACGGCAGCATAGCTGTATCTCAACCCGTTCTCACGGCATTTTGTGTTATAGTCACAACATTTAATCTATTGATTCGTGTTCACCAACACGATTTTCCCCTTTTTTTCGTGACGAAAAAAAGGGGAAAATCGTGTTGGTGAACACGAATCAATAGATTAAATGTTGTGACTATAACACAAAATGCCGTGAGAACGGGTTGAGATACAGCT